TCATGTTCCGTATATCTTTCCCTTCTTCCTTATAACGACAAGAAAACATTATCACTATAGCTTCATAAATACAAGTTAATTCTTCTCTCCCTTCCACTTTCACTTTTTTTTTCCCAGGTTAGTTGATGCACTTATGACCCGGTGTGGCAAAGTTGGTCATGCCGTCACTGGAATACATTGGGCACACTTGGGATAAAAACTGGTCTTAGGTTAATAATGTCCGCATCTGGTCGTGGGTAGAGAGGTTGAGGGTACACACACACACACACACACACACACACACACACATCCTTCACCACCGAAGGGTCAAGACGTACCTGGCGCTCCTCTCGGAGCAGCCAGGTCAACTGTTATGTTGGCCCATACCAACTCCCTCCCCTGAACCCTCCTCCCCACCGGAATATCAACAAGTTCACGCCAGAAGTTACTATTTCATTTAGGAAAGAAATGGAACCAGTGTTAAACAGAGGTGAACAGTGGTGAACAGTGCTTAAGTCAGTGAGAACAACTCAACAGTAACAGTGGTACCCAAGTTGACCTTTCACACAGTGAGGTCCCAGGTACCCAGTGATAACGGCCTGTGAGACCCAACTACCAGCGATGTGTTAATCCGTCTACGATAGGAAGGCCTGGAACCACACCTCACTCATATAACACCATCTGTGAGGGAATTACTACACCACGTGAGGCCCCTCATAACACCATATGTGAAGGAGTTACTACACCACGTGAGGCCCCTCATAACACCATCTGTGAGGGAATTACTACACCACGTGAGGCCCCTCATAACACCATCTGTGAGGGAATTACTACACCACGTGAGGCCCCTCATAACACCATCTGTGAGGGAATTACTACACCACGTGAGCCCCTCATAACACCATCTGTGAGGGAATTACTACACCACGTGAGGCCCTCATAACACCATCTGTGAGGGAACCATCTGTGACTACACCACGTGGCCCCTCATAACACCATCTGTGAGGAATTACTACACCATGAGGCCCTCATAACACCATCTGTGAGGGAATACTACACCACGTGAGGTCCCTCCTAACACCATCTGGGAGGGAGTTACTACACTACGTTTTTGCTGTTCAACACCTACATTAATCTGTATGTTCACTGTATGTTCCTTTACCTTTCTCTAATGAAGGCTTTTGTTAAACCACCAATGTATGTAATAAGTCATTTATGTCCAATGTATATTTTCAGCCTTCGGGCTGCAGAACTTTTTCAATAAACCGTTAATTATTATTATTATTATTACATTCTCTGGATGCTGTTTTAGTCAATCCTCAGACAGCCATTGTTGTGGTGTGGGGAGTAAGGAACAACACGGGATATTCTACAACTACTCTCTTATCTAATACTGTCTCATTCAAGAGTTCTTTTTAAGTTTAATTCATCTCAAGGAATTTATTTTTAACCATTGATTTTAAGTGATATTAGTGGATCTTGAAGTGTGACGTGGCCTCTGTGTTGATCTACCTGAGTTAAGGAGCAACAGGTAAGAAACACTCTCATCTTTCCCTTCATTTACCTGAGAACACATTGGTGCTGTATATAAACATCCTCTTATACTGTATTGAAAGACGTTAATTTACCTTTAACATTATTTCAGGTTTATATTATGTCTTGTACGATGATAATAAAGGTTAATGAGGGTGTTAGGGGTAATGGATAAATAGTTCTCAGGTAAATAGGTATCCATGTCTACCTTAAACCAGCAACTCTAGTACTGCCTCCACTTAGGAACGGTGAACGGAAATAAAGTCACAGGAAAAAGGTCACATGACTTGTACACATTGACAACACAATATATATATGATGGCATTGCACATAGGTTAGGTTAAGTTAGTTTAGGTTGGGTTAGGTTAGGTTAGCTTAGGTTAGGTTAGGTTTATTCCATGCCTTTTTTTCTGTGACTTTTTCTTATGACTTTTTTTCCTGGATGCCTTAGGAACATCTCAACACCTCCTTAGCTTATAGAAAAAATATAATTCTGTGACCTTGTACTGAAGACTTTTGGTCGAGTTGTAAAGATTTTTTCCAGGTAGTCTTGGGAAGTGTGTGTGTGTGTGTGTGTGTGTGTGTGTGTGTGTGTGTGTGTGTGTCAATCCAAACATTATTTACACATGACGTCACAGTGTTTATATACATTCGAATTACACTATACAGAAAAAAGACTTATTTCAAGTAGATAACTCAATGACTTAAATTATCACTAACTATTTTATTTTACCGTAAGTCCCACTGACATGATAACCTACTAAGTGTTCTCTGTATGTCTAATTCTTAAACTATTCAGCAAGATAATCAATAAGGCTTCAGTCTACCATCTAAATTATGTTTTCTATGAAATAGTATCAAAGCATGGAAAGTTTTGTAGGTGACTATGCTATTTACTCACTACCCTGAGGAACGCATACACAGTAATATGTGAAAGGTAAGTAAATTTGGATCTAATCTTGATGACTATATAATTTTTGGGTTACTGGTGACCTTAGGGAACCAGTGAGAGCTTGCCACTCCTGCGACCTGGTCGCAGGAGTGGCAGATCTTCTTTGCATGATTGCAACAGACTTGACTTACCACCTTCGTAAATATGTTCGTGTCGTCCAAAAACTTGATAATGTGATTTGATCTATTTTGATCCATGTGGGTCTAAGGATACATAACTAAGAATCCTTTTGCATCCTGAATAACACCGTTTATGACCACTTTTTGTTGTCTGTCTCCGAACCAGTTGTTAATCCACTTCAATATTTTGCTTACGCCATGTGTCTGGATCTTAGAGGCTAACCGCTTTAGAAAAATCCATGTACAACCTTGGACACATAGTAGATCACTCATAACCCAACCCAACCCAACCCAACCCAACCCAACCCAACCCAACCCAACCCAACCCAACCCAACCTAACCTGTATTTCTGCATATTTTCTCTTCTTGTTTTATCTTGGTTGATCAGGTAATTTTTTTAAGGCGGTTTACATTGACGGTGAGCGTGTAGTGGAGCATCCGTGACTGAGTACCGTGGACTTATCAACTGGTTCATCACTTAACATACTAACATACATTCAGACTTGACACAATCAATAGGCGGCGCCATCCATTGACCATCTCTGTAAACTATAGTGTGATCATCTTAGACTATTTCAGTGTTGCTACATTATTAAATATATTATGTCAGTCTACGTTTATATATTAGTGGTGAGAATATATGGATCAAATTCTGTATGTAATAAATAGTGTAGAGGCAAAGCTATCATGTTTATATAAGCCGTGGTGGGATGATTGTCTGTAAGCTCAAGAATGACAAGGCTTCAGGAGTATATGGAATCACATTTGACTCTTTCAGGATGCAGGTAGAAATGTGATAGGCTGAATAGCAAGAATATACAAGGCCTATATGACAATTTGAATTTACTAGTGAAGGAGTTTGGTGGAGTGTGTGTACTATGGGGGTAAGTAAGTTGTTAGTGAATATGGACCAAAACAAAGAGATGAGATTAAATAGAGACAATGGGAAATAATTTGTTAGATTGGATATAAAAGATTTAACGTAGGAAGTGAAAGTTAAGAGAAGAGGAAGTGAAAACAAAATAGAATAAAAGAGTGTATAATTTAGAGGTGGTTGATAAAAAGGAAAGTGGAAGACGGAAAAGAAGATGATGGGAAGGAAGGAGAAGGTCACATAACCCAGAGGCAGTGGTAGTAGTGAAGGCGACCAACTGAGGAAAGACGAGGCTGGGAAATGGGAAATTGGTCAGTCTCCCCTCCCTCTCCCCTCCCCTAAAATTATAAACAAGTTTAAGTTGGGGGTTGATGGGGGCCGGTCACTCCCCCTACCCCTTTGTGAACGACAGCAGTCTCAAACACAAGAGACTTGAAAAATTTGCTCTGGTAATTTTTGAGGTAAACATTAGTGAAGTGACGGACATAGTTGCCTTTCCAAAACAAACCTTGACAACTCTAGGTACCTCAGCTTGTAATTTATATACTGTATATATGTGTATGTGTTTATATATGTATTTACGTATTATAGAAAGATACATATAGGAAAATAGACACCGGGAGAAGAGTTTAGTTTAAGTTTTAGGTGTTGTAACAGCTGGGAGGAAATAGCCTAACGTGATGTAATGATGGGCAGCTTTTACCAGGTATGCAAGGAAGGTAAGTCTCTCTCTCCCATTCGGCCACATAACCAATTTATTGTGTCACGAGAAAGGCAACAAGGACGGGGAAAGTGGAACAGCTTGATTCATGCTGATCTTACACAAGGAAAATCTATTGTACATGAAGTTTGGCATTTTTTTTTTAATAATACTTGTTAATTGTTGTGTTTCTTGTGTTTATTGATGAGATACGAAATTAATTAGCAAGTTAGATCAACGGATAAAGACATAAAAGAATACAACACGGTAACGATAATCTAGGAAAGGTGAATACACTTTTCACGTTACATAATTTTTCAACAATGTGTATGATGCTAGAGGGAGGGTGTGGGTTGTCGGGTGTGTGGGTTGTCGGGTGTGGGTTGTCGGGTGTGTGGGTTGTCAGGTGTGGTGTTAAGGGGTGCAGGAGTATCACATGTGGTGTCAAGTGTGGTGTTAGGTGTGATGCATGTGTGGTGTCGGGGGAAGGGGAGAGTGCAGGGGTATCAACTGGAGCGATCATAATAAAAAAAAAATCAGATTAGATGCTCAAGGAGTTATTATGGTTGCTCCTTGCCACACGCTACTGTAATGACTAGTATTAGCGTAACCCAAGACACTGTTGTTCTAAATCTTTACAATTCACCACCAAGGCCAAAATAACAACTGAAAACACATTAATAACTAAAAAACCCAAATATCTCGGTTTTGATCACTTCCTGTGGGAAATATGTCCTTCAATTTCAACAATAATGACACTATTACTAATAAAAATTCTTAAAAATCTTTGAATGTCATCCCCATCAGGTAGAATCCAATGTTGTGGATGTAGGAGCTTCTCACCTGTGCGTAGGCGTGGTGGTGAGGAGGTGTGGAGTGAGCTGATGAAGAGGGTGTAACTTTTATATTACAGGTTACGTCACCACCATCGAGAGGTCTTGATAAGTAACCAAATACTCCAGGATAATTATTTTTTTTTTTTATTATTGTTGTTGATGACTTAAGGAAGCTTGAATATGTCGAGTGGCTCAGTATAATAACTACTGATTGGTAATGGATGGAGATATGAGGGCATGTCTGTCTTTGTTCCATTGTTTATTAAGCACACACACACACACACACACACACACACACACACACACAGAACCATGATAATCACCCCCCAAAACACAACCTCTTAAAACGTCAGTACTAACAATTTATATTCACAGATCAAGACAACAAGACTCAATATAATATAACAACAGCCGGCCATTCAGTACACCTTACTCGTTAGTACATGCTGAGTGTTCCGGTATGGGTACAGCGTTACTAACTTGCCAGATGTGTCTGTATCCTAGCCTAATTCTGGCCACGACTACATCACATTGTCTGGTTCTGTCCTTATGCTGGCCATACCGGTACCTCTTGTACGAACCTCTGTCCTGTATGGCAGTGAAAAGTGACATTACCCACATGAATCTGACCGACGTATATGTATGTATGTGTGCGTGTGTGTATGTATATGTACATGTACATGTATATGTGTATGTATATATGTATATGTATGTATATGTGTGTGTGTGTGTTTACATATATGTATATGTACTGTCAATGAATATGATGCAACTCTTTGTGTTCGAACCTCTGTCCTGCATGGCAGTGAACAGTGACATTACTCATATGAATCTGATCTCTATACATTTACAGTTGTTAATGAATGTGATGTATTTCTTTGTGTGTGAACCTCTGTCCTGCGTGGCAGTGAGAAGTTATACCACCCTCAGTGTCAAGACCTGACTGAATTACCCAGAATAGGCAAACTGTACTATAAGCTCTGCCAATAAATTTGTTAAACTAAAACCAAACTCGTTAGTACCACGGAGAAGAACTTGAGAAATTTGTATAATATGACTATCGGAAATTACAAAGTTCCTCTTATTGCTATTGATTACTATTGATAAGATACAAGTAACCATGTGGTGAAGTAGAGGGAGTGACTGTCATATTAGTGTCTGTCACGAGAAGGTCAAAGGTGAGAAACTAGCTGGTGAAAGGAGAAAGAAAAATAGGTAATAGGAGGAGAGGCATTAAGAACAGAGAGGAGGAAAGGATTGGATTCCCTCTTTTTCACTACATTCTTTATTCATTCTGTTATAAATGCGTTTGTCAATACTGGACGAGAGATGACGAGGTAATCCACTAATTACCAGGTGCTGGGATTATCTACCTGTCTTGTCAACTGCATTTAATACTAATCAACAAGTGGTATTAATATCTATTCGGGAAGAAAAAAAAAAGGTCAAATTACGAGTTAGAAATAATCATAAATTAACAACACTATTACATTATAAACGACTTAACCAGACTGACATAAAAAGAGTGTCTGATCTTCCTTACGTGACAGACAGCTATAATGAGTTTTGTGATTCTCTTCCAAAACATTCTAAAACATTCTCCCAAATTGCAAACAGACACAAATGAAATCTCAAAAAGTCATTAAACAAAAAATTATAATCATTAAAATAGTTTCACCTTTTCACTCACTCCATATGAAAAAATAGTAAAAAAAAAATCTTGATAGGAAGAGTGGTTGAGGTGGAGTCTGAATATATTGGCCTCAAATGTCACCACCACCACCTTGCATACCTTCGTCTCCACCTGGACAATAGACAAATACGTGTCATAGAAGCAACTTGCGACCTTTTGTAAACACTGTATCAATATGTCAAGACACAGTATAACAATTGTGTAAGAGATAATTTTACAGGTTGAGGAGGTGTTGATGGAGTGTGTTTATACTGAATTACGTAAAATACAAAGGGAATATTTTAGTAGGAGTCATTTACAGAAGACCCCTTGATAAAATATAGATTAACTTATCTCTATCATAAGTCCAGATAGGAAATTTTGCTATACGTTACAGGATATGTCAAACCTTGATCTACTAACCTAACTTAACCTAACGTAATTAATAGACCTTCTTGCTACCTGTCATTAGTATTATCATGATGAAATGGCTGACTGTACTGAAATTAATTCTCACTCGAGTACACAGGAAAACTACTCTTGAACTCAGACACACACACACAAAAAATACTGTCTAGCTTATCAGGAATTTATCTCCAGAGTTTATAAAGAATTAAAGAACATCACTGACATTAGATTTGAAGTACTGGGAGCTGGTAACGTTGACAAACAAAAATGAACTTTGGAAATTTTGTATTTTCTAAAACCTTGAAATTGAAAGAACCTCAGTGTTTATGAACGTCCTGGAAAAAAATACAACAGTTTGAAGTTGATGGTGGGTTGATGGTGGGTTGAGGGTGGGTTAATGGCAGGTTAAGGTTGATGGTGGGTTGATGGTGGGTTAATGATGTATTGATGGTGGTTTAGTGGTGGGTTGATGGTGAGTTGAGGGTGGGTTATTGGTGGATTAATGGTGTATTGATGGTGTTAAGTGGAGTTGATGGTGGGTTGATGGTGCGTTGATGGTGTTAAGTGGAGTTGATGGTGGGTTGATGGTGGTTTAATGGTGGGTTGATGGTGGGTTAATGGTGGGTAAATGGTGGGTCATTGGTGTATTGATGGTGTGAAGTGGAGTTTATGGTGGGTTGATGGTATTTAGTAAAGTTGATGGCGAGTTAATGGTGGTTAATGGGGGTTAATGGTGGGTTAATGGCAGAAAGTGGGAGTAATGGTGGATTAATAAGAGGTAGGTTGATGGTAGATTAATGGTAGGTTAATGGCGGGTTAATGATAGATAGGTTAATGGTAGGTTAATGGTGGGTTAATGAGATGTTAATGGTGGGTTAATGATAGGTAGATTAATGGTAGGTTAATGGCGGGTTAATGAGAGGTTAATGGTGGGTTAATGATAGGTAGGTTAATGGTAGGTTACTGGTGGGTTAATGATAGGTAGGTTAATGGTAGGTTACTGGTGGGTTAATGATAGGTAGGTTAATGGTAGGTTACTGGTAGGTTAATGGTAGGTTACTGGTAGGTTAATGGTAGGTTAATGGTAGGTAGGTTAATGGTAGGTTATTGGTGGGTTAATGATAGGTAGGTTAATGGTAGGTTACTGATGGGTTAATGATAGGTAGATTAATGGTAGGTTAATGGTAGGTTACTGGTAGGTTAATGGTAGGTTAATGGTAGGTTAATGGTAGGTTACCGGTAGGTTAATGGTAGGTTACTGGTGGGTTAATGATAGGTAGGTTAATGGTAGGTTAATGGTAGGTTAATGGTAGGTTAATGGTGGGTTAATGGAGACTATTGCCACATATCTTCACCTGTAGACCAACACACACCATAACTCCCTAAAAACTAAACGTATAAACCTTAGAAAAATATATTTACAAATTAAAAAAAAAAGCAAATTAACTCAATATCATTCTTTTATTAATGTTAAATACACTAACATAGCTATAACATCATAACTTATCTTAATAAAGGTCACAAATATCGAAGTGATTACACATATACTGTACAATCAGCTGGTATGCAATCTCTTAACATCATAAATAAAAACATACGAAATGATTAAATATTATTTTTTTCATCACTTTATCACAATCATAATAAACTCACCCCATAAATATTGATCAAGGACAACATAATTATTTTTAATAACCTTAATTAATTATCTTCTGATTATACTTCCAAAGTTATTTTTTCCCGCTATAGCTCACTAATATTAACCAGGTATAAAGTTATAGTTTTCTCCGTAATAGTGAAGTATAATCTGGATGAAATATGATTTAATTGAGCAGGATTATAGGGACATGTCAAATGGGTGCCCAGTGGTTATGGTTCCCAACTGATATTGACCCTCAAGGTAGAGGTTCCATTAGAATTACGGTCCATTAAACACACACACACACACACACACACACACACACACAGCACTCTTTGACCTTGTCCTCTGGTCCATGACCTTTCACCTCTTCTGTCAAAAGCAAACGATATCTTTTTTCCTTATTTATTGTTCAGTCATCACTTAACACACTTGTCAGATTTCATCAACACTGACCATCCCGATGTTGGGTTAAAGGTCAGTGTCATTGACCCTAGGTCCGTTAAGTTTCCCTTTAACCTAACCAGCATCATGTGGTTTCCTTTACCGGACAAGAATTAACCCACTTGTGTCATGAAAGATTAACCACCGACCTCCTCAATCGATAATTTCCCAACTTATTTTTTGTATAATTTCATCGCAGTCGATTCACCTATTTTAAGATGACGTCACTTGTTAGACCTTTGTAAAAACTACCCTAAATGACCCCTAGCTCTTGACTCACTCTCTAAACTCTTAATTAATTTTATACGTTCAATTCCAATGAAAATCGAGATAAGGTCACATGTGCATAATATCTCGTTTTACATAAAAATTTGTAAATGAGAAAGAAAAAATCAGAGTCGTTTGCTTGTATGTCTTGTAGCACCAAGAGTCAGCGGTCTGTATCAAGAGTCAGCGGCCTGTATCAAGAGTCAGAGGCCTGTATCAAGAGTCAGCGGCCTGTATCAAGAGTCAGTGGCCTGTATCAAGAGTCAGTGGCCTGTATCAAGAGTTAGTGGCCTGTACCAAGAGTCACCGGCCTGTATGAAGAGTTAGCGGCCTGTATCAAGAGTCAGAGGCCTGTATCAAGAGTCAGCGGCCTGTATCAAGAGTCAGCGGCCTGTATCAAGAGTCAATGGCCTGTATCAAGAGTCAGTGGCCTGTATCAAGAGTCAGTGGCCTGTATCAAGAGTCAGTGGCCAGTATCAAGAGTCAGTGGCCTGTATCAAGAGTTAGTGGCCTGTACCAAGAGTCACCGGCCTGTATGAAGAGTCGGCGGCCTATATGAAGAGTCAGAGGCCTGTACCAAGAATCAGCGACCTGTATCAAGAGTTAGCGACCTGTATCAAGAGTCAGCG